AAATATTTTTTCATAGTAAGGCTTAGAGATTTTTAAAAATACATTTCCATCTAAATACCTGAAAGAAGACATCTGTATTCTGATCAAATCATAAGTTGATGAATTTTTAGCTGATGTCTAATTTGGCTTTATAAATAGAGCAGTGTCCTAAATTGGTCACCCACAGAAGGCGACTTGGAGGCAAATAATCGATGTTAGTTTGGGAGCTTGTTCATGGGAGCACTTTAAGGGGAATAGGGAATTGAGATAAGAAAGGGAAGGAAGCCAATACAGGATTCACTCTTGAGCAGTTTACTGGGCACGTGGGTTTTAGTCCCATAGTGGAATTTTGAGAGACTGTGAAGAATATTCCTCAGAGTTACCTCAGTTGAGAGGCAATAAATTGGATATTTCCCCACAACTTTGATCTATTATTTAGGGAAGGCTGATTCTAGGGCATTAACCCTTAAATGCCTAGTGTTCCATTTTTGGAAAGTCCATAACAACAGAACCTAATAACATTTTTCTCTTCAAATTCTTGTTCTTTGACTTTTTCTAGATAACATGTATGGATTGCATGTGAAAATTCAAAAAGAATATATAGAAGAATAATTCAGAATATATAGAATATATAGAAGAATATATAGAAGAATAATTCAAAATTCAAAGACTGAAACTTTTGGCATAAAGGCAGTAACTTCCATGCATGTCTACCCTGTCCATTTCCCCTGGGTGGAAAGTGGCACGATGCTGGCAGCATGAACTGGGTCAAGGAGTTCACTGGAGGGTGTATAGGCAGAGACCCAGCAGTGCTGTTACAGACAAAACTGTGTCCTCGTCAAAGCACAAGCTGATGACTTTTTGGTCAGTGTCTAATCAGTTTGGATTCTGTAAGACTGGAATTCAGTGGGACTAAGCAGAGTTTCATAGACTGATTTCTCAGGAGGATTGTGGACATGGCAAGAACTTTTGGTTAGCATGTTTGGTACATGGAGATAAATATAAAGACAGGTGTTGGATGATTTATATAGAAGAATAAACTAACACCTAAACAAAAGAGCTGCTGTAAAACAATGATGTGGCTTAACCAACAATAGCAATTACACAGCAACTGTATCACTGGTAACCCACGTGCTGTGATAGTTATTGTAGGTTTAGACACACAGAAACTTTTTAGGACCTCTTACTGTAGTTATGCAAATTGATTCACATAGTCCCCGATCCTCATGATCAAAAGAACAAGTCAGGAAAATGCATCCATTATTTCTTTTCTTCAAGATTTAATCCAGAGATCTGTGTGGGCAGCTGGGAGCAGCTGGATGTGCAAAGAGAGTAGTGGCTGGGCACAGTGCCCCGGGCTGACCAGAGGCACAAACATGGTGAGGTGGCAGTGCAGCCTGGAGCAGAAGCCACAGCATGGTGGGAGGAGAGGAAGGTGTGTGTGTGGAGAGGTGGCAGCAGCAATGGAAATGAGTTCCGTGTAAGGAAATTGAACCATTGTGAATGTGTAAATATGTTGAGGATAATAGTTGCCAAGAACATTGGGCATGATGGCGCACACCTGTAACCCCAGCACGTGAAGGCTGAGACAGGAGGATCTCTGTGATTTTAGGCCAGCCTGGTGTTTGTAGTGAGTTCAAGGCCAGCCTGAACTACAAAGTGAGACCTTGTGTCAAAAAAACAAGTTAGCCCAGAATGGTGGAGCATAATTTTAATCCCAGTACTTGGGAGGCTGAGGCAAGAGGATCGTTTTGAGTTTGAGGCCAATTTGGGCTACATAATGAGTTCAAGGACAACCTGAACAACATATTGAGACCCTGTCTCAAAATACCAAATAAAAAATTGCCAGTATTTGAAAGGGTAAATATAAAGGAGAAAATCAGAATCATCTGTGTGTTCTGGGATTGGTTATACTATACACATGTAAAAGTATATATATGTTTATATCTGTTCACCATGAAGACCTGGAAACAGCAATATCCCAATGAGCACATTTAGCATCTAGATCTTAGGGTTTTTTTCCTCTTTTTTTCTTCAGTCCTTAGTTTTTAAATACCATTCTTCATGAAAAGAAATAAAGCAGAGTTGATGGGGAAAACACGAGATGAGTGAGGTTTAAATGCAGGAAAGTTATTGGGAAAAGTCTTGGAAGAATCAGTGCATCTATTTTGACAGAGCTGGCTGCCTGTAGTGGCCTAACAAATGCCACAAATTTTTGAGCTCTACCTATCAAGAGGAATAGTCTATTTTCTCATACCTTGTGACACTGACTGATACAATAGAAAATGACACTGTGTGACTTCGTACCTGACGCTTCCAAGAGGTCTTGAAGCTTATGCTTTTGTACCCTACTCCACCCTAACAGAAGCTAGCTGCCACATGAGAAACCCCAAGCTGCTTTTCCACAGAGGCCAGGGAGAGGTAACCTGAGGCTAATACTCTGACAACTACCACACAGGTGAGTGAGGCCAGTGAGGACCAGCTGACCCCCACCAATTCTCCCACAGACTGCACACACGCAGATCAACCCACCCAACTATGGAAAGGGAGCTAGGTCATCCCTGTTCTAGACTCAGAACTGAACGAAGGCACCAACCGACAAACACCGAAACGCACAGATCGCCAATTGAGATTTAAGAATGAGCCTTTATCAGCTGGCCAGCGACTGACTGAGAGCCTCCACACAGCATAGGATCAGGTCAGCAGCGAACCAGGGGAGAGAGTATTTTTTAAGCCAAAAAAAACACAGAAACCACATCCTGCTTGGCAAGCGAGGTCTTTGTGAAGCAGTCTTCTGAAAAAACTATAGAAACTATAGGAAACTTACAAGAAAGGAGCAATATGTTTTAGGGAGGTTTAGGGAATGGCTAAAATGTGGAAAGAAGCAGGTGGAAAGGACAAGAGGGGGAGTAATTGTAATTTTTTATGTTTTTTGTGAGGCCATGTATGTCTCTTGTGAGGCCTTTACATTTTTTACTGATTTTAGGACAGAATCAAATCCTTGATTCAGAGGGCTCCTCTTTGAGGGATAACCTGTCATATTGGGTGTGGAGGACCATTAATTTTATATTCTGGACCCTTTGTTAGACATACTTCGTAGTGCAATTTTTTTTTTTTTTTTGGTTTTTCTCCCGTACCGGGAACCGAACTCACGACCTTGCGCTTGCCAGGCAGGCGCTTTTGCCGCTGAGCTAAATCCCCAGCCCTTGTAGTGCAATTTATGGCACGCGGTCCCACTGTGGCCAGTAGAAGGACTAGTAATAAGGGACTGACCCCAGCTGAGAGGAGAGTGGTCAACCATGGAGACAAACTAAAGAACCTCTTGTACCAGTTTTGATCTTGTTTTTTTTTTTTTATCTTGAAGTCTTTTTTAAAGTTTATTTAAGCTATCTTTTTTGACCCCAGAGTGGTTGGTATAAAAATAACAGGCCTCACCTAGGGCTATGTAGAGACCTCTCTCTTTAAGAAACAGCAAATCCAGACCTCGTCGATTTTGTAAAACCATTTTAGCCAAGGACCCGAGAGACTCCTCGAGCTTTGTGACTGAACTTTTTAGGGTGGCAAGGTCTTCATCGATTTGGGCACTAAGGTCCCAGTAGTTTTTGTCTTGGAAGATCAATGCAGAAGAGCTTAAGGCAGTTGATCCCGCCAGTCCAATCTCCAGCAAAGCGGGGATTAATATGGGATGGGCTCTTTTTGACCTCAAGAGACCAACTAGTGAGAGATGTTTTTGGCCTCCTTTTTTAGTGTAATAATACACCTGGGGGAAAATATGTGTCAAAATGCAAAGTTTAGGGGTCTGAGTGGCGACAGTGGAGAACAGGCAAGGAGTGATTTCCGAGGTGTAAGCAAACCAGGTTTTCCAGGGCACAGCCAAGTGTTGGGCGAGACTGTAAGTCATATTTTTAGTCGAGACAGTGATTACAGAGAGTGTGATAAGGAGATTTATCCAGGGGATATGTGTTAGAATGAAAGCAAATTCCTTTCCCTTGGATATTTCCTAAGGTTAGAACGGGTCTCTGACCCCACCAGCAGGGTGAACTACTTGTAATGGTACTGGAATTCATGATGTCTTGTGGCGGGGACCCAATGGAGGCATTAGCAGCAAGTCCAACATAGAAGCGGGGGCGGGGGGAGTCCAGGCACAACCAACAATCTTTGGTCATGTTGGGGTTTGATCTATTTAGACAGGAGAACATAATATCTAGTGGGAGCAAAAGAGGGGAAGCCGGAGGGCTAGATTGACGCAGACCTAGGGTCGGGGAAAAGGGAGTCGAGATGGTCCTGGGAGTAGGTTGGGCAGGTTGTAGGATAGGTACCAAAGGCCCAGGGGTAAGGGTGGGTTAGGAGTGCTCATTTTCATTTGGATGTTTAACCAGAACCCTGCGTCATACCCTGAAACATATAGGCACACTCCCCAGGTCTTTTCTCCTCACCAGGACGGGTGATCTGGCTGCAGAAAAGTTAAGATAGGAGGATTACATTTGTTTAACTGACAATTATATGGGCCTCTAAGCCTGGTGATCTTTAGAAACTGGTCAGTGTGTCTCTAGGGAGCAATAGACTTACATCCCCAGTAATAACAATTATATGCCAGGTGTCCACCACAATTGATGTCAGCATTAGGGGTAAATGTGGGACAAGCATAGAAGTCGACATCCCTTAATGCCTGTTGCATGTAGAGGGTCTGACAACCACACCTTCTGGGTACATGAGCATTGGCTCGGACCGGGCGCCAATTTTGTCTGAGGAGCTCACATAGGTTGAAATGGAGTTCGGGGTGAACGTAGTATTTCTGGCAATTATTCTCCCATCAAGAGGCACAGAAGCCCTCCAGGTGCAGGGGAATGGATGGTGGGGTTTAGCTGAGGTCACAAAAGTAGGGAAATGACAGATAAGAAAAACATAAATTAATCTACAGTAAGTTTTAACTTTACCCGTAGTGGGTCGTCTGTGCTTTGGACTCTCCATGCTGACTTGGAATCAGACCCAATGAAAGGCTTGACGTGGGAGTGGTGGATCTAAGCGTCCTTCCCAGCAACTTTAATCGAGGTGGGAGTGCTGAGGACGATGGTGTGTGGGCCTGACCAGTGGGGGTCTAAGTTGTGAGAGTCCCTCTTTTTAACCCGGACTAGGGAACCGGGCTGTGTGATGGGTGGGGAGACCAGCCGATCAGTGTTTGGTTGATGATGTTTTCTGCAGAGGCGATGAGCCTCTTGAAGCACTGGCTGTAGAACCTGGAGGGACTTAATGAGATCTTGGTTATGTACGGTTTTAGAATGGACACTGTGGAGCTTGGGTACCAGAGGTGGGGGTCTCCTGTATATAGCCTCAAAGGGGGTAATACCTTGGATGTAGGGGGTGCATTGAGCATGCAAGAGGGCAAAAGGTAGGAGACTCACCCAGTTTTTACCAGACTGTAGAGCCGTCTTGGAAACTGTGTCCTTAATGGTTTTATTTATATGTTTTACCTGTCCAGAACTTTGAGGCCGGTAGGCACAGTGGAGCTTCCAATCAACCTGTAAACACTTAGCTAAATTTTGCGTTATTTGAGCTATGAAAGCAGGACCATTATCAGACCCCATTACTAGGAGCAGACCAAATCGAGGCACAATCTCAGACAGCAACTTTTTTGTTACAACCAAGGCTGACTCAGTCCTTGTAGGGAAGGCCTCAGGCCATCCCGTAAAAGTATCCACTAGGACCAGTAGATATTTGTATCCATGGCGTCCAGGACCCATCTCAGTGAAATCCATTTCCCAATGTACTCCTGGATTTTGTCCTCTCTGTCGTTGCTGAGGGGGATCACCAGATGATTTGCCTTTGGGATTTACCTGAGCACAGTGGGGGCATCTTAGACTAATGTCCTTTGCTTTGGCTGTAAGATTAGGAATAAAGTAGGTTTTTCAGCACAATTGAGCAAGTTTAGTTCCCCCTAAATGTATGCTTGATGAGTCTCTCGTAGTATCTGGGCCCCAAGTACTTCTGGCAGGAGATGGTGACCATCAGGGAGGATGTGCCATCCATCAGCATCAGCCTGGGATTTTAGGGTTGCTGCTAACTTTATGCCCAAATCAGAATAAACTAGGGGGACCAGCTGAGGTGGGGGGAGGGTAACCATAGCCAGCGTAGTGGACCCCACTGATTTTAGCACTATCTGTTTGGCAGTGGAGTCTGCCAATTGGTTCCCTCAGGCTATTGGGTTGTCTTTTTTTTTTGGTGGGCCTTGTAATGTATTACTGCAAGCCTCTTGGGCTCCCAAATAGCCACTAGCAAGTCCAAAATTTCAGAGGCGTTTCTGATGGCTTTTCTCTCCCGAGTCAACAGGCCTTGTTGTTTTATAAATGGTCCTGTGGACATGTAGAGTGCAAAGGCATATCTACTGTCTGTATAGAGATTGACAGTCTTGTCTTTGGCCCATTTTAGGGCCTGAATCAAGGCTATAAGTTCAGCCTTTTGTGCAGAGGTGTGAGCTACTAGGGGCTCTGCCCAAACTACCTCAGTTTCAGTAGTGACCGCTGCCCCTGATACCCGAGTACCTTCATGGAGATAGCTGCTGCCATCTGTGAAAAGCATGGCATCCATTTGGGTCAAAGGCACATTGGTCAGGTCTGGCCTGAGGTTAGTGATGGTCCAGAGAACTTCGAGGCATTCATGAGTTGGTCCATCTGGATTATCATCAGGAAGCAACATGGCAGGGTTGAGGGAGGTTGCAGGCAGGAAACAAATTCAATCTGGGTCCAGCAACAAAGCCTGATACTGGACGATCCTGGCATTTGATAACCATCTTTCGGGGGGACTGTTTAAAAGAGGCTCAAGGGAGTGGGAGGTACCCACATAAAGTTGTTGACCAAAAGTTAGCTTGGTTGTTTCCTTGATAAGAGTAGCAGTAGCTGCAAGAGTCCACAAGCAATTGGGCCATCCAGTAGCCGTGTTCTAGGCGCTTAGAGAGGCAGGCCACTGGCTGCTTCCAAGGGCCCAGATATTGAGTAAGGACCCCTTTTGCAATCCCATGGGCCTCTGCTACATGGAGCTGAAAGGGCTTGGTTAGGTCCAGCAGGGCCAGAGCCGGGGCCAAGATTAAAGCCATCCACAGTTTATCAAAGGCCTGTTGTAACGTTTTAGTTTAATCAAGAGGCTCAGTTGTGTCTCCCTTTGTGGCTTCCTACAGAGGATGAGCCATTTCTGTGAACCCCAGAATCCAGAGCCTACAGTACCCCATAGTTCCTAGGAACTCCTGTATTTGTTGCTTGGACTGGGGTGGGGGTATGTTTAGGATGGCCTTAATGTGGCTATCAGAGAGCGTTCTGGTGTCCCCGGTGATAACATAGCCCAAGTATGTTACTTTGGTTTGACACACTTGTGCCTTCTTAGCAGAAACCAGATAGCCCAAGTGGGCTAATTCTCGAAGGACATCTTCTGTTGCCTCCTGGCATGTTTCCTGGGTATCTGCAGCTAATAATACATCATCTATATACTGGAGGACAGTCACCCGTGGGTGGGAGGCACGAGAGTCCTGAAAGTCTCTGCTTAGAGCCTCATCAAACAGGGTGGGGGCATTCTTAAATCCTCGGGAGACCCTTGTCCAGGTTAATTGTCCTCACTCCCCAGTTAACGGGTCAGTCCATTCAAAAGCGAAAATGGGTTGACTGACGGGTGCCAAAGGAAGACTAAAGAAGGCATCTGTTAAATCCAAAACAGAATACACAGTCCTATCAGGAGGGAGAAGGCTGAGGAGGGTGTATGTGGTAGGTACGGTGGGGTGAAGGGTTTCCACCCGTCTGTTTACCTCTCGGAGATCCTGGACGGGCCGGTGGTCATTGGTGCCGGGCTTCTGGACCGGGAGCAGTGGAGTATTCGAGGGGGACTTGCAGGCGACCAGGATCCCAGAGAGCCTCAATCTTGTGATGTGTTTAGCTATGCCCTCCTGAGCCTGTTGACTAGCAGGTACTGTCAGACTTGCACAGGCCCAGCAGTGGGGTTTAGGGCTACCACAATTGGGGGCTAGTGGGAAGCCAAACCAGGAGGACTGTCCTCTGCCCATACTTCAGGTATTTGTAATTTTTGTATTTCTAGAAGCTGGTTGGACATGTGTTCTGGGGTCCCTGGGGATTCTGTGGTAAGTATGTGTCCCTCCGTGAGAGGACAAGTAAACAAAACAGCAGGGGGCTGAATCCTGTTGGAAAAAGTCACAGTTGGGCCTTCGTCTGCAATAGAGATCTGGGCCTGTAACTTAGGTAAAAGGTCTCTCCCAAGTAGCGGGTAGGGACACTCGGGCATGACCAAAAAGGAGTGGGTCAAGGTTTGTTTTCCCATGTCCGTTATGGTTACCCGTGACCAGGGGTAGGCCTTAGTTTTACCAGTTGCTCCCTGAATGTTAGTTTTTATTGAAGAGAGAGGTCCAACAGGCTGCTGAAGAACAGAGAAGGTGGCACCCATGTCCACGAGGAATTGGACCTCTTGGCCCCCCATGATAAGGGTTACCTGGGGCTCCTGGGGGCCAGGGGAACCCTGACTTTTTCAGTCTGTTTTCTGTGTGCTCAAGACTGTGGGACGTTTTTTTTTTTTTTTGAGCTTTGGACAGTCTTTTTTCCAGTGACCCTCTTCCTTGCAATAAGTGCATTGATTTTTCCCCAAGGGAGGTCTTTTATCTTTGGTCCCAGTCATAGGCTTGTTTGGGTTTTTTGGGGGCTTTTCTCCCATGGCCAACAGAACTTTTGCCATCCTCTTGTTTAGCTCCCGGGGATCCTCCCGGTTATTAAAGACCTTTTGAGCCACCTCTACCAGTTCTGAGAGCACCTTTCCCTCAAAACCCTCTAACTTTTGTAACTTCCTCCTAATGTCTGGGGCCTACTGGGTGACGAACGCTATGTTAAGAGCTCGCCTGTTTTCTGGGGCCTCCAGATCAGTTGGGGTGTATACATGATAAGCCTCTTGGAGGCGCTCAAGAAATGCTGCCGGGGATTCATCCGGCTCCTGACTAACTTCAGTTACCTTAGACAAATTAGTAGGCTTGTGGGCCGCACCCTTAATGGCACCAAGAAGAGTCTGGGGACACTGAACCAGAGCCTCCTTACCTGCATCTCCGTTGGGATTCCAATCTGGGTGGGCGGATGGGAAACGCTGCTCTATTAGTCTAGGATCGGTGGCAGGTTGGCCGTCGGGTCCAAGAATGGCCTTTGGCCCATGGGAGCAGACGTATTCCCATTCCTCTGAAGTGAACAGGACCTGTAAAAGCCATTGGCAGTCGTCCCAGGTGGGGCGGTGGGTGGCAAATATTGTCTCAATGAGAGATAGCAAAGCTTGGGGATCCTTTGAGAAAGGCAGATACTGATGCTTCCAATTAAACAAGTCAGTGGTGGAGAAAGGAACATGAATTAGGAACAGGCCCCCCTCCGAGCTAGCCTGGGGCACCTCCCAGAGGGGGAGGAGGGCCAGGGGAGCAGAAGGAGGCGGAGAAGGGTTAGAGGAGTCGGGGGATGGGTTGGAGGCAGAGGGAGCCTCCCCAAAGGGTCTGCCACTCCACATGTGTGGGGGGCTGGTAAGGGTGGAGGGACCAGGACTGGGAGAGAGGGAGGAGTTGGGGGAAGGGTAAGGTGGGGGGAGTCGAGGGTAGAGGGTGGGAGAGTCGGGTGAGTCAGGAGGTCCTTGGAGGAGATGTTAAAACTCCCTTCCGGAGGCCAATCAACCTTAAACTTTGGCCACTCAAGTTCACAGAACGTTTGGAGTTTTCCGGGGAAAACTGGCTCGCTGTAACTGGTGGCCCTCTGTTTGAAATCGGAAAAGTTGTTTAAAACACATTGAAGTGGTGTAAGAGACACAGAAGCAGACTGACCCATCAGGACAAAGAGAACAAAAACAGATGACAAGACGAACCGAAACTGAAAAGTCTCTCTGGCACTTACAGGCACGTCTGCCCTCCAGGAAATCCAAACGGGGCGCCCCAGAAACAAATAAACAAACTCCTACCAGGAAGAAGACAAACGGCTCCGAGTCAAATAGAAAGAATTTAGTCTTTACCCTAGGCAGGGAAGCCTGTTGGGCCGAGGCACGTCTTCTGGGGGAGCCCCCTGACAGGTGGCTGCGGGGGGCAAAGTGATCCAGCTCCGTAGCGCCCCCTGTAGGGCATCTCGATGGGACCTCCAAATGTTCTGGACTCAGAACTGAACGTAAGTACGGACCAACAAACACCAAAATGCACGGATCGCCAATTGAGATTTGAAAGTGAGCCTTTATCAGCTGGCCAGCGACTGACCGAGAGCCTCCACGCAGGGTAGGATCAGGTCAGCAGCGAACCAGGGGAGAGAGCAGCTTTTAAGCCAAAAAACCACATAAACCACATCCTGCTTGGCAAGCGAGGTCTTTGTGAAGCAGTCTTCCGAAAAACTATAGAAACTATAGGAAACTTACAAGAAGGGAACGATACATTTTAGGGAGGTTTAGGGAGTGGCTAGCATGCGGAATGATGCAGGTGGAAAGGAAAAGAAGGGGAGTAATCAGTAATTTTTCATGTTCTTTGTGAGGCCTTTACAGTCCCCACTGAGAGGCCTGCCCTAAATAGGAACCATAGCGTTACAAGCCTTAGTTAAAGGAGGAGCTAGACTATAGCCTGTAAGCCAAATCTGGCCACTGTTCCTTTTTTGTAAATAAAATTCTACGGAACCATAGCTATATCCACCTGTTTAAATTTGTCTGTGGCTATTTTTGAGTCACAACAAAAGAGTTGTGACAAAGAGCATCTGGCCCACTGTATCAGTCAGGGTTTACTAGAGGAACAGATATAATACAAGA